TTTATTCATACTGTCACTTTAAACTCAGAGCAACACTTCTCGTCGGCCCAGGTTGCGCGCCAAAATCCATCCTTCTAGTGACATTGACAGTTGTCAGCTAGGGACGTGACGTTTACGTCGATAATAGTGTTGCGCCAATTCTACAGCACGGTACTAATTTTGTTCTTAACAATAAGTACATGTTAAAAAATTGTTAAAAAATTTCAAAAAATAATCGTTATTATAAACGAGTTTTCGAAAGTTTTTAGGTTAGGCTCTTAGTGAGCTGATGTATGTATGTATGTATGTATGTATGGATGTATGTATGTATGTATGTATGGATGTATGTATGTATGTATGTATGTATGTATGTATGGATGTATGTATGTATGTATGTATGTATGTATGTATGTATGTATGTATGTATGTATGTATGTATGTATGTATGTGCTACATACCGTTATAGGAAGAGCACAGGTCTGTCGGTGGCGCGGTCGCTGCCGCTGGAGTGCGAGCGGCGCGTGCCCCCCGCGCCCGCCGCACCGCCCGCGCCCCCCTCCGCCACCACTGACGCCCCTGAACCACTGGACGTGGACTTCACCTCACCTTCACGACCTACACACGGGGGTAAACTTAGAGCTATGTTACGCCCTGAGAGTGGTAAGTAATCTGTACTTATACTTAGTGCCTGTCCCACTACTGCCTGATAGAGACTAAGATAGCTTAATGATGTCTGTCAGACAACAAAATCCGATATTTCCATCACATTTTACATGTCAGATTGTTCTCAATTTAAGAATTTGGTAAGACTGACACTAAGGGCCTATCCCACCACTGGCTCAGATAGCTTAACGAAGACACTGACAGATAACAAAATCTGATATTTCCATCACATTTTAAACGTAGAATTGTTAGCAATTTAAGAATTTAGTAGGACTGACTCTAAATCTAACTATTACAAAAGTTTAGATGGACAGATGTTACAGTTTGTAGCCTAAACTTCACGACGGAGTTTGAAGAAATTTGGCATAGTAGAGAATAGTCTGGAAGCAAACAGGCTACTCACTTTTATTTTTTTAATACCACGCAGACGAAGTCGCGGGCGAAAGCTCGTATTTAAATATTACTAATATTATAAATCGTTGAAGTTTTAACACCATGTAAATCAATTTAGACTATTTTAACAAGTACTTATTTTTTTAATTTCGACCAGACGTCATAGGTTCGTCACCTAGTAAAAAATTACAATTATTTATTTTAACCTTCTTTTTTGGGACCAAAAATGCATGATAGTCTAATTTCTAATGCATTTTATTTCGAAATAGTTATAAAATTACAAAAAAAAATTGACTTACAACATTTTCCATAGGAGCCATTCACTAACCTGTATGTTCTTTAGCTGTGAGATGGTCGGAGCCCGCGCTGGAGCCCCCGCTGCCAGATAAGACACTCTCCTCGCGGTTGTAACTAATATAAATGCGAAAGTTTAGATCAGTGATTCCCAAAGTGGTATCGACCCCTAGGGGTCTATAACAACCTGCATGGGGTCTATTCAGCGAAAAAATTAGGGGGTCTATGAAAATGGGGGTCCACAATAGTGGATATCAACACATACACTAATAGTGCCTCTTTACTTACATCATACTATCTTATAATATCAAAACATATACAGTCTAACCTGGATAATTAAAACCTAAGTAACTTAAAAACCTCTCTAACTTCAAAAAATATTATCTTCCCATCCCAGAGCCCAAAACCTCTATAACATAGACCCTTGATAACTTAAAACCTCTATAACTTAAAATATTTTGTGTTTCCCTTGAACTTTAACTTATCGAGGTTCTACTGTACATTATTTATTTTCAGTAGTTTTAATATAAATTAAATTATGTATAAATTAACTTTGTATTTACTTATATTTTAACACTAAACCACTACAAGTTAGAAATATACAGAAGATCAATATCAGATAAGTAGGGGGTCTACACAACACGGAAAAGCATAACAAGGGGTCTAAAACACAAAGAAGTTTGGGAAACTCTGGTTTAGATGTATATTTGTTATAGTGTGCCTAAATAGTTTAGATTAGTTTGAAAATTCACTTCAAATTTAGTAGGGATGGGTTGTGTAAAATCATGAATCTTATCGATTTTCCATTTTTATTCTTATAGAAGTTGGAATCGATAGATTTATAGTTATAACTTATGAATTAAAAAAAACACTGTTTTCTCAAATTAATAAGAGTAAATAAATGTTTATTACTACTACAGCCGTACGTAATCGAATTGGATTTCGCTATTATTTCTGTCATCGCTATTTAGAGAATTTTCTCTACACTATAATCAATAATAGAATTGTCCTCTAAATTAGTTAATAAGAAAATAATAATTTTAGTTGAGTTCGATAATTATTTAAACCGAATATCGATAGTTCATAATAGTTCGCTGCGTGTTTCGTCACTACGATACCTGTCTAAGTGCGGCATTTTTCATACAAATTGCTTGACACTTCATATGCGTCATTTATCAAACTAATCTATCTTATTTAGACAAACTATATTGTAGCTTAAACTGCTGAACCGATTTTAATTAAATTTAGTACAAATGTAGATAATCTGAAAGAACAGACACTTTTGTTTTTTTATTCCACGCGGACGGAGTCGCGGTAAAAACGTAGCAGAAATCATAAACGTCACTTACCCATATATCGTATGTTCACTTGTAACGCAGGAGGTATATTTGAACGGTATTGGTTGATATCCATAGGAGCCTGCGTACGGCATATACCCCGGCCCCATCATACTGACGGACAAACAAACACTAGGTTTATACTATTATAATAAAGCGTAAACACACACATTGTTGCCTAAGATGTCAGCAATTACAGCATATTTTTGAATATTTTTTTCGTTAATAAAAAGCCCTACACTTACGCTTTAGGCTATATGTTTTCACACCATTAAACTTAGGGAGTAAATATTTTGGATAAAAACCCTAATGTGGGAAAGAGATCATAAGTTGCTGCCAACATCAAGGAAGCAAGGTTGTCAAGGTTTGTCATGTCATGTCATTTTGACATTTGCTATTAATAATGTGACAAATGTAAACAATAAAATATAATTTTATAATTTCAAGCGGATGAAGTCGCACGGGAACATCCAGTTATCATTAAAAGGGGTAAAAAAAATTGGAAAAACCTTCAAAAGTAGTGAGCGTAAGCTAACAATATTATAAAGAGAAAACATTTGCATTTTTGTACATTTCAATATACCCAGTTTTTAAGTTATTTTAACAACGCAAAAACTGGGTCAATTTAAATTTTTTTTGTGTAAAAATATTAGTAGATTTTTGTTAATTTACTAATATTTCCTTTAACCATTCCAACTAAGCTCTAGACCTGTGCTAGGATATTGTTCACGACAATAGTCGTAGCGGGATTCGAACCCTCGACCTCAAGATCTCAAGTCCGTATCCCAAACCATTAGGCTATTGGCACTTTTCTAACTTAACTTGTTAGAAATTAGAAAATTAAAAGCTTTATTAGAAAGGCAATATGCATGACGCCAAATTGTACCAAACTTTTTTTAAGTATACTTTATTACTATAAAAACATTCCTGCAAAGATTTTTTTAAATATAATTTGATTTAGTGGCAAAATTTAATCATTAAAAAGTGTCTTTTTTCAAATTCCCTCGCTAAGTTCTAAAACGCACACTATTGGTAGAAGCAAGTGGCTTATCTAATATGGCGTCGCTTGTTGACAATACACAGTTCATTTACGTTACTTTATATAGAAATACACTCTTGAAGTATTTTACTGTAAACACGATATCAAAACCAACTTTAAAATAAAAAATAATGGATAGAATTATTAATTACCACTTATTTGTACCAGGAATAATAAAAATGAATCGATTTTTGACCTTGAGAAACTTTGTTATGAATGAAATAAGACAATTGACGTCAATTGTCTCATGACAACTCCGGTCACGTTTTAGTCGCTCGAAAATGATCGTGGTTTTATTTTATTTTTCTCGTCAAATTTTTTGTGGTTATTTTATAACAAGTAGAATCGTTTAAAAAAAATACATGCATATTGTTGAGTGCAAAATACAACCTCTTTGGCTGACAAGCAGTATGTATACAGCCAAAGAGGTTGCATACTGGCCAAGGCAATAATCGTTTATAAAAGAATATATATAAAAAGAAGAAATCAAGAATGTGATATAGTTTCGAGTTTTAAGTTTCTTGTATATTTTTTTGTGTAAATAACTTTTCAATAAAGATATGTTTGTTTTATAATAAGTGTTTTGTATTTTTGCGCTGTCGGTAACAAGTTAAACACATATTCCCTATTTATCTGTAACAGTATTTTCCAAGTCTCAGTAAACGCTCTAAAGTTACTTACTTAGGATTAGGTAGCGGTGCCAGTGTATCCCCGGCTACACTTTCATTATCTCTTAGTCTCAAAGCTGCCATATCCGCACACAGTTCCCCAGCTACGTAATAACATTGCTCTGAGAACGTTATTTTATTCACTGTGTGACGAATGAAACCGGCCTGAAAATAATTATATCATCTTTACTTGAAATGCAACAGGTTTTTGTCCTCCAAATAGCTGTTGCCCGCGACTTTATCCCCGTAGTATTAGAAAACATACGAACTATATAAATAACAAAAAGCTATATATCCGGGAACCGGACATTTCTCGGGGATGAACCTTATTCCATGTGTACTCCAGACTTTGTTTTATTGTGCCTTTCAATAAGATATGTTGAACCGTTGCATAATGATCGAGTAAACATTAAAACACTAAATTAATGAATCCCAGAACCGTAACTATTCCCGGGATAAAAAGTAGCCTATGTGTTCTTCCAGACTATGCTTTAAACCTATGCCAAATTTCATGGAGATTCATTCAGCTGTTTAGGATACAAACGCTAACAAACTAAAATCTAAACTTTCGCATTTATAATATTAGTATGATGTGAAAGTTTAAATGGATGTTTGTTAGAGTTTGTAGCCTAAACGACTGAACGGATCTCAATGAAATTTGGCATAGATGTAGATAATAGCCTGGAAGAACACATAGGCTATTCACTTTTGTTGCTTTTAATTCCATGCGGACTGAGTCGCGGGCGAAAGCTAGTCTACCATACACATATAATAAAAATGAAGTGTCTGTTTATAATATCAAAAAAAAATTCCGAATTTAGGGAAGATGACGTATTGGAGTTGCTTATAACGAAAATCGCATTTAAACAAATTTTGTCTGTCTGTTTGTAAGCCGCGTTTGTTCTGATTTCGATCGGAGTTTCACTGGAGGGTAGCTGACATAGACCCGCATATCATAGGCTACTTTTTATCCCGGAAATAGTTACAGTTCCCGTGGGATACTGTTTTTTTTCAAATAACCTATAATCAGGACAAATTATCTGCATGTTACTTATTGTATTGTGTAAAAATGTATGTGTTATAATTTTGTCCTGTTGGTTTATCTTAATAAATAAATAAAAATAAATAAATAAATAATATTTATTAACTGAATAGTTGAAAATCAGAGATACATAATTTTTTTATTTACCATTGTTCGTATTTTTTTTATCTTAATATTGCGTGGACGAAGTCGCGGGCAACAACTAGTAAAATATTTGCATTTGTATTTGTAATAAACAGTCAAGATATCTATATAAGGCTATTTTTACATACCTTAAGCATATGCGAGGCATATTTCCTTGCATCCCTGCGGTCAGCGATACCAGCCACATGCTGCAGGATCCAGTCCACCACATCAGCTCCGATGAAAGCATTCGGGATGGTTATCTTCAACCACATACGGTCTCTGATCTCCAGACCTTCGAAATACAATATAATTGACTTACTATATGCTATGTTTTTTTTTATAATACGAGGTGGCAAACTCGCAAGCGGCCTGAATCCACCGAAATGAAAAGCGACCGCTGCACATAAACATCCCCTATTGTAGATGCGTTGCCTACCCTTATTGACGGAGGAGGAGACGCACATAAAGAGGACATTTCCCCTTCCTATGCATCTCCTTCACCGTCCAATCCACTTTTTTCTCCCATCCTTTCCTTTTAAGAAAAGGGTGGAAAGGATAAGGGACTAAAATTGGGCCTCCGGCACCACACTCATCAGACGTAACGCGGAGTTACTTCCACTTCACGCCTGTTTTCTGTGTGGACGTGGTATTACTGGGGGCGAGCCGGCCCATTCGTGCAAAGATGTTAAAGCGGGCTCTACCACTGTTAAAAGATAAGGAAGGAGTAAGCGGCCACCTAAATCCGCCAAATTGACGAAGCGACTGCCCATAAACATCCGCAATTGCAGCGTTGCCTTCCCTTCATTGACGGAGACGCACATAAATAGGATATTCCCCTTCCTATGCGTCTTCCACCGTCTTAATAGAAAAAGGTGGGACGGGAAAGGGATTAAAATTGGGCCTCTGGCTTCATCCAACAATATAAATACAGGTAAAGAACATTGTTATTACAATAGGTGGTGTATTTATGTAAATGCTTTAGTCCCTACAATATAATTATAATTTTTGTCCTGTTGGTTTATCTTAATAAATAAATAAATACGATGAATACTGTTACAAATAACTAATTAAAAAGGATATCCATACTAATGTTATAAATAATGATTTGTATTTTTATATGTGAAATAACTCAAAAACTACTGGGACAATTTTAAAAATTCTTTCATCGTTAGAAAGGTAATCTATCTGTGAGTAACATAGGCTGTATTTTTTAATTTCACGAGGGCGAAGTCGCGAGCTATAGCTAGTTAAAAATTACCTTTTTAGTGGTGAAAGAACTTTTAAAGGCGCCCCAGTAGTTTTTGAGTTATTTTATAATATTAAGCGCCTGTCCCAGTAAATTGTAAATTGTCTAACAACCCAAGGTGTAAAATATGTAATGGAAATATCGGATTTTGTGGACGTCATTTAAGCTATCTGAACCTCTATCAGCCAGTAGTGGGACAGGCCCTAAGTATATAAGTACAGATTACTAACTTACCACTCTCAGGGCGTAACATAGCTCTGACAACTAAAGACATGTCCATGCTGACAGACAGCGGAGGCTCAGGGGGCAAAGACCCAGCATCGGAACCCGGGGCCCCACCAGGCGGCGGCGGGTATGCCTCCCTTAGCGCTGCGGTGTGAGCCACCCATGCACCTGGAAATAGCATATTTCTTAGATTAAAGCAATGTACTGTTGCGGAAATCTGCAGTGTTCCACTTTAGAGACAATTTGCCTTACACCAACAAGACAAAAACCATCTTTTACAAATAACTTAGTCAGCACCATTTAAGGATGGGAGGGAAAGTGAATTAGATGGTAGAGACGCATAGGAAGGGGAAATATCATTTTATTGTGCGTCTCCCCCTCCGTCAATAAGGCAACGCATCTGCAATTGCGGATGTCTGGGCAGCGGTCGCTTCGCCATTTTGGTCGCTTGCTCGTTTGTCATCTTATATTATGTAAAAAAAGACACATTTACAAGCTGCGTTCTTTTGATCCCGCATCTAGTTTCAAAATGTTCAAACAATTGTTTTTAAGGTAGGACACTGCCAATTTCTGACCGTACATTCACATAAATGTACGGTGTTCAAGGTACAGTGAAATAGTTTGATACTTTGACATCTACAGACAACCACAACGACTAAAAACCACAGAAAAGAGGCTTTAAAGGCTGGGCCTTTGAGTCTACATTTCCTTACCTGGATCTATAGGTCTGACTGGTTCAGTTCTTGGTATAGTGAAGTATCCCTTAGGGTTAGGGTCCCAGCACTTCGCCACCACCAGCTTAATGGGGCCTGGTTTCTGAACCACCTCCCGGAGAACCCTCACCGCTTCATCATTCGTCATATCTTCAAAGTTTACATCATTCACCTGGAATTATATTAAAAAAAATTATTGAAAATCTAATCCAATCATATCGCTTTACTAGCTTTCGCCCGCGACTCTGTCCTTGTGGAATTAATTAAAAACAAAAGCAAGTAGTCTATGTGTTCTTCCAGACTATCCTCTACATCTATGCCAAATTTCATTGAGATCCATTCAGCAGTTTAGGCTACAAACTATAACAAACATTCATCCATCCATCTATAATTTCACATTTATAATATTAGTAAGAAGTAAAATAAGATAAGATGTTTTTAATATTAACTTGGATAATAACAAACTGTAATAATTTGAAATAAAACAAAAGAGAGAACAGTAAAATATGTTATCAACTCTAACTATCTTACTAATATTATAAATGCGAAAGTTTAGATGGATGGATGTTTGTTAGCGTTTGTAGCCTAAACGGCTGAACAGATCTCGATGAAATTTGGCATAGATGTAGAGAATAGTCTGAAAGAACACATAGGCTACTCACTTTTGTTTTATTTTAATCCACGCGGACGGAGTCGCGGGCGAAAGCTAGTAATATTATAAATGCAAAACAAACACATAGGCTATTCACTTTTATTATTTTTTAATAACATACAGGGTTGTGGGCAAAACTAGTAATATTATAAATGTGAAAGTTTAGATGGATGTTTGTTAGAGTTTGTAGCTTAAATGGCATTACAGATCTTGATGAAATTTGGTATAGATGTAGTCTTACCATCTTGTGTAGTTATAACTTAAGTGAATATATACAACTACTAGCTGTTGCCTGCGACTTAGACTGCATGAATTTGAGTAACATAGCCTATATTCACAGATAAATTACAGACCTTTCTGATGGTGAAAGAATTTGTGGAATTGACCCAGTAGTTTTTGAGTTATCTGAATAAATACAAAAATATAAATCTTTCCTCTTTATAACATTATTATAGAGTATAGAATAGTATAGATAAAACAGATAATGTTAAAATTCTATGTTAGAGGCTACAAAATTAGAGGAAGACCAAAAAAAGTATGAATGGATTATGTGACAGAGAATTTGCTTAAGGGAGTGGATTCAAATATGATGGCCAATAGAGAAATATATAAAAACAGCACATACTGTACCAACCCTTTGTAGGACAATAAGCAAAGAAAGCAAAAATGACCCGAAATTTTGTCCTAAACTATTTAACTACGTCATAGTCTTAGACTCCAAAAATTAAACAAAAAAATGGGACCCACCTGCAAGCATTACCTTTCGGATAAAAAATGAATTATCAAAATCGGTCCACTAACGGCAGAATTTTGCCGTTACTCACATAAAAAAACATACAGACAAATTGAGTACCTCCTTCTTTTGGGAAGTCGGTCAAAAACAGGTTAATGATGAAATTAAATAACAAACCTGTAGTATCATATCTCCCGGCTCTATCCGTCCGTCCAGAGCTACCGCACCACCTTTCATTATACTGCCTACATATATCCCTCCATCGCCACCCTTATTCGATTGCCCCACAATCGATATCCCAAGGAAATTCACTGTATCCATGTTCAAAGTCACCGTTATTATATGCATAGACATCGTGGAATCTGTTATTGATGAATATGAAGACGTTCTTGACATAACTTGAGGTCGTTTTCGTCTTCTTTGCGGACGCTTACGAGAACTGACTTGTAAATGTGATACACTGCTACATTCTGTGAGCGCTCTGTCCACAGACGCGTTTGTATGTCTACCAGTAGTCGTTGTTATCTCCGATTGACTGTCGAAGAGGCTCGTAGAATCCAAATCAGAACTGAGAACGGAAGCTGTTTCGTATTCAAGTCCGTGATTGCCATACTTGGAATGGCCGTTGATTCTCAAGCCTCTGTATTTATATTTATCACAAGATGCCCGGTGTCCAGGACGAGAACTGATAGTACTATCCGTGTCTGTACAGGTATCTCTTGTTAAGGGTACAGTTGGTGCTCCGTGAGGATTAGGCTTTCCCTTCCCAGCATTACTGTCCGTACATTGCGAAGCACCGTCCGAAGGGTTAGATCCCTCCGCAGACACCAGCCACGACACCACACGACCGTTAAAACACGGCAGATGTGCACTATCATCGATAATTTCCTCTTTCACTACACCAAAATCATCGTCCATCGATTTGAAAAAGAATTTATAGTTAGGCCTATTCAATTGATTTTTAAAGTCTAGTAAAGTCACTTTCTCCGGCGATATCGGTATTTTAACTAAATAAGGCGTCTCCTCATCGTCTATGTAGTAAATAACTTTCGTCTCCTCCATTTTAAAACATTTATTATGGAAAACTAACAACACCCTTAGGATCTATAAATATCGGCCGCCATCACAAAAATGGCGATAAACAAGATGCCCTTATCTGTCAATACGCGGCGCTGCTATCGAGAGATTTATGTCCTCGAATAAATCTAGAACTTTTGCATAGATGGAAGATAATTTTAGATAGTGTGTTAATCAGTTTTACATATTATGGCATATCTTATTTTCCACTTTTAATACAACAAATCATCTTTTTAGTATTTTCTAGCTTTATTTAAAAAAATGATTGAACATTTCCTGCTTTGCAAAAAATTTTGGATCTGTTTAACAATCAAAGGTTTACAAATTTTGTATCTATACCGGGTGGTTTTTCCAGTTGCCAGTTTTGTAAATTTCCTTTTTTATTTCTAAATTAATTGGCGTTAATGAAACAAAAGAATTTTACTTTCTTAAAATATCTGTAATAATGTCTTTTTAGATAGTAGATTCGGCTTTTAAAGTTCCTGGGAATAACTTTAAAAATATTTTTTTGTAGTCTAAACTCTATTTCTAAACAAAATAATTTGAATATTGGACCTATCCTGACACATTGGCAACACAGCGTTTGTACCGACTTTTTGTTATTTAAAAGTTTTTGAAACTTCAAAAAGTATTGTTTTCTTGAATTTTTTTGAAATAACTATTTTAAAATGGCTTTATCAACTCACATAAAAGATCAGCCATGGTATTCACAAATAACTAATGAAATAAACGAATTCCGCGACTTACTTGACGGTAAAAAATTTTACATTCTTTGCAATGTTTTCATTAAACTACAATAAAATGTTCGATTATTTACCTGTTTTCAGATAAAATAACTAAACAACGAGAACAAATAAAGGCATGCAAAAAGAAAAATGAACTAGACAGTAAATTTGCACAAGAAATTAAATTGAATGTGAGTACTAAGTAATTAACTTACATTTCGTATTTAAAACTATATTAAGTGTCACACACTCAGTGGCTATTGATTACAAAGAGATTTCGTTAAGAAAGAAATATTTATAAAGCCAAGGGGAAAGATTTGTATTTTTGTATGTATTGAAATAACTCAAAAACTACTGGACTGATTTTAAAAATTCTTTCACCATTAGAAAGGTAATATCTGTGAGTAACCTGGCTATATTTTTATTTTCACGCGGACGAAGACGCACGCAACAGCCTCTTATATAGTTTAAATAGTTTTACTGCATGAATAGTTTTATATTCTAGTCAGAATTGACGCGGCAGCTAGCCGAGTTGAATCGTCGCGGGAGTGACCTCGATAGAGTCTGCGGCAACTTTGATTCTCTAACTATTGCAGAAAGTGATAAAAACAGGCTAGATAATGATAAGTGAGTATTATTTATAAGTACAAACCTTATTAAGTATAAACCTAATTCTCCCAACACCAACTTGCCCTTATCCCTTCGGGTCGGCACAGTACGTGCTGCTCCATACGTCTCTATCAGCCGTCATATCTGAATTCACTCCTTTCTTAAACATATCCTCTTTCACACAATCCATCCATACTTTCTTAGGACTTCCTCTTCCTTTGTAGCCATCCACATTCATTCTTAACACTTTCTGGTTTATGTCCCCATTGTCTTGTCGCATAACATGTCCATACCATGCTAACAAACATAATTCCCCCAAACCGGTTTATCCCTGTAGGGATAACTAACCAATTCCTTTTACCTACAATAGAAGTATAGAAAGAGCTGGAAGAGGCCTAGTGTCACAAGACATTACCTAGCCTAGGATTCAAATTAAATAAAGCAATTTTTATATATCATACTTCATACTAATTGCAATGTAGGTGTGTTATCAAAACGGCGGTTGGTACTGGACTGATTTATTATTCATATTACTAACTGTACATTATATTAAGGTACCCTCATATATCATCACCATCATCATCACCAGCTCACTATAAGTCCCCACCGAGCTCGGAGCCTACCCTAAGTTAGGGTGATTAGGCCATAGTCAACCACGCTGGCCAAGTGCGGGTTGGTTGACTTCACACATATCTTTGAATTTCTTCGCCAATATGTGCAGGTTGCATCACGATGTTTTCCTTCACCGTAAGAACGTCGGGTAAATTATTTACATATGAAAATTCGAAAAATCGAAAATCACATTGGTACATGGCGGGATTCGAACCTAAGACCTGTAGATTACAAGTCAAGTGTTCAAACCACTGAGCCACCGACGCTCGTATATATACCCTCCTCCTCCCTCATATATACCACACTAATATTATAAATCAAAAGATGAGAAGAAACTACAGATGCATTGCGGATGACCATGGGCGTCGTTGACCACCTTTGTGTTCCTGTCGCTCGTTTGCCCCCTTCTCATATAAAAAAACATGCGAAAGTTTAGATGGATGGATGGATGGATAATAGTTTGTTAGAGTTTGTAGCCTAAACGGCTGAACTGATTTTGCTAAAATTTAGTAAGGATGTAGAGGATAGTCTGGAAGAACACATAAGCAAGTTTAGTTTTTTTTTTTAATTCCACTCGGACTAAGTCGCGAGCGAAAGCTAGTATATAATAATCTAAAGCGGAAATATTTGTATTTCTGTATGTATTGTAATAACTCAAAAACTACTGGGACAATTTTAAATATTCCTTCACCGCTAGAAAGGTCATCTGTCAGTAACATAGTTTAATTATATGTAGGTGAAGTCGCAAGCAACAGCTAGTTTAATAAATGACCTTATGTGCCTTATCAGACAATTTACAATTTGGTGAGATAGGTCCTTGGTATTTTATATGTTTCAGAGAGACAATACAAGTGGCCAAGGAACTAACGGGGATAAGATTTGATTTCTCTGCACCAACAAATGTAGCTAAGGGATGTATCCTTTTGCATTATACTTAAAAATCTAAAAAGTGGTAGTGCCCGCTTTAACATCTTCGCACGAATGGGCCGGCACGCCCGGTGTAATACCACACAGAAAACAGGCGTGAAGTGGAAGCAATTCCGCGTTTTGTCTAATGAGTGTGGTGCTGGCGACCTAATTTTAGTCCCTTCCCTTTCCACTCTTTTCTTAAGAGGAAAAGATGGGAAGGAAAAGTCGATTTGACGGTGGAGGAGACGCATAGGAAGGGGAAATATCCTCTTTAAGTGCGTCTCCTCCGTCAATGAAGGGTAGGCAGCGTTGCAATTGCGGATGTTTATGTGCAGCGGTCGCTTTACATTTCGGTGGATTCAGGTGGCCGCTTCTTTGCCACCTTATATTATAAAAAAAAACATACACCCTTGATAACTTAAAACGTCTGTAACTTAAAGCATCTTGTGTTTCCTCTAGACTTTAACTTATTAAGGTTCTACTGTAGTTCAAATAGTTTTTATAAAACTAATGAAATTCTACGGGTATATATAGTAAATAAATCAATTTTCCACAAGATTTCTTTAGCATATAATCAGATATGAAAAACGAATTTCGAAGACTTTTACAGCCGTTTGAGATAGAGAATGGAGACAGCGAGACTCTCTGGTCTCTTATACAGAGCACGACTCAAGACTGGCCTGTGGCGGATAAGGAGAATTTTATACCTAATAAATAATTTTCAAGTAAGAAAAGCCTATTCTTAAATACATCAGCTATCTTCTAGTCAAAATCAGTGGTAGTGCCCGCTTTAACATCTTAGCGCGAATGGGCCGGCACGCCCCCAGTAATACCACGACCACAGACAGGCGTGAAGTGGAAGTAATTCCGTGTTTCGTCTGATGAGTGTGGTGCCGGAGGCCTAATTTAAGTCCCTTACTCCTTACCAATCTTTTCTCATAAGGAGAGGATGGGAAGGGGAAGTGGATTTGACAGTGGAGGAGATACATAGGAAGGGGAAATATCCTCTTTATGTGCGTCTCCTCCGTCGGATAAGGGTAGGCAACGCATCTGCATTTGCGGATGTCTATATGCAGCGGTCGCTTCGCCATTTTGGCGGATTCAGGTGGCCCCTTGCTCGTTTGCCGCCTTATGTTATAAAAAAAATCCTGTTAAAATGGGTCTATAGTTTAAATAAGATTAGTTTGATAATTTAGTAGGGATGGGTTGTGTGAAATCATAAATCTTCTCGATTTTCGATTTTTATTCTTATATAAGTTGGAATCGATAGATTTATAGTTATGACTTATGAATTAAAAAAAAAACACTGTTTTCTCAAATTAATAATGACCATAACAAATAATGAGAGTAAATAAATGTTTATTACTACAACAGCTGTACGTAATCGAATTGGATTTCGCTATTATTTCTGTCATCGCTAAATTCTCTACACTATAATCAATACTAGAATGGGGATGTTTCCTAATGTTACAAAT